CGACGGGGCGACGGGTCGACGTGTCGATGAGGCGGGCTGAGCGCGGCGGGCGGCGGCCGAGGCCGAGGAGCTCGAAAAGGAGCGGCAGGCTAAGATTTCGCCAAAGGGCGATGTGCAGGGCGCGGCGGCCAAGGCACGGCCCGAGGCGCTCGAAGATGCCAAGACTATGGCGTTCGCGCGGGGCGCCGATGACGAGGACATGAACCGCGAGATGAAGGGAAAAGAGAGGTGGAACGATCCCATGGCGCAGTTCATGCAAACGGATACGGCGACAACGACGACGGGCGGCAAGGGGAAGAAGGGGAAGAACAGACCCGTCTATACCGGCGGCGCACCGCCCAATCGGTACGGCATCAGACCTGGCTATCGGTGGGATGGTGTTGATAGGAGTAATGGATTTGAGGGCGAACGTTTCAAGGCGATCAACCGACGAGAAAGGAACAAAGGGCTGGACTACTCGTGGCAGATGGATGAGTAAGGACGGTTGGATTTATTCTCATAATACCCAATTGTGTTGCGCTACGCAGCACTCTGATTCAATATTAACAGCTTGTGCTGTGATCTAGTGCCCATCGTCTTTTCTGAATAAACCTTCTTGGTATCTACGTTTGGGTACCTAAGGAAAGCAAGTGGTACATAAAGACAACCGAGACGCCAGAGATCGTTCCCATGTGAACAAATCTCATTAGTCTCGCTTCGGAGCGGCTCCTTCTTTTGGGCGCAGCAGCTTGTCCCTGCCAAATACAGCCACATCCTTCACGATGTTGATCCATCCAGCTTTGGATGTCTGGCCTGGTCCATCACCAATGCGTTCGTTGAAGCGTCTGTTGAGTTCTTTTGACGATATGCCCTGCGGCGGCAGCGCTGCGAAGACCTCCCAGGGTTCAATGGGCCCGGATCGGGAGGGTGAGCCGGCACGCGGATTCGGGCTCGTCGGCGATGCACCTGCGTTGTCTTGTCAGCTTGGTCCATACTTTCTTCAAGAGGTCTTAACGTACTGCCTGCTGCGCCTGCAGGGGCTGGGCTGCCAGCACGCGAGCCAGTGGGCGTGCTCCTGGCGCCCGTACCAAGAAGTTTGATCTTCTTCTTCCTCTGCTGGCCATCGGACATCTCTCCACCGGTGGCTTCGCCGTCGCTCATCGAGCTCATTCCAACCTTGTGTTTGTGGCCCGATGGCAGAGGTGTCCCTGAGCGGCTTACCTGGACAGAGCTTCCGTTCTTCTTGAGCTTCTTCTTCCTCAGCGTCGACTCTGTTTCACTAGATTCCGATAGGTTCGGCGAGCCAGGACGCTTCAGTGACTTGCCCTTTCGGGCAGCATCGGCTTCCTTCTGCTTGCCAGAAGGCGTCAGTGTGCCCTTCGAGTTTGCGTCCTTGTCCTTGGCACCATTGGCGTCCTGACTCTGCGCAGAAGGATCCTGGCTAGAGGCCTTGTCTTCGTCCTTCTTAGCCTCATCCTCTCCGTCCTTGCTCTCGTCATCCGAATCCTCTTCATCCTGGAAAGCCTGTTAGTATGCTGGTCATCACATGTTGAGGACCTGGTCTTACTGAGGGACCGAAGTAACGGTTGCCGTCTTCATCGTCCGAGTCCTTCTTGTAGATGGTTTCCTTTTCTCGCTTGACCAATGCTTTGTTGATGGTCTTGCCTTCCCTCTTCCTGCTCTCCTCGAGAAGCCGGGTCTCGAGCTCTTCCTGGTCCACCTTACCCTCGTCGCCCTCTCCGAACACGTTGGCGCCGAGCTGCTCGCGCTTGATGCGCTCGGCCGACTCCTTCTGATCTTCGTCGTTGTCGGGCTCAAAGTTGGGCGCCTCGTCGTCGTCTTGGAATTCATCGCCCTCGAAATCAATTTCGTCATGGTCCATCTTTTCCGACTTGGATACGCCCCTGAATGTCGAACTCTCCGTCTTGATACGCGACGGTCCGTTCTTGAACTTTCTCCAATCCTCGAGGTCTTTCTGTCCTGCCTTCTTCTCTTGCGCCTGCATGTGCCACCGAGACACGCCTGATTGCTGCTTCATCAAGGCCTCGGCCTCTTCGATTCTCATCGTGGTGAAATTCGGCTTGGGCTGGAATTTATACCATTTCTCAAGCGGGGTCATGGCAAACTTGCCGTCTGTCGTGGCCACGAGACAAACTGTCGTCTCCGACAGAGGGGCGACGTATGAACCAACCCACACGTGCTTTCCGTCGGCGTCCTCAATGTGCCAGGGCAGCGCTTCCTCATAACGCAGCGATTGCTGCTTGCGTTCCTTCTCCGACCGGGGTGCGCGGTGAAACTGCACACCGCGGTCCTCCTGCTTCGGCTGCTTGGTACGCGTACTGGCATTGGGGTCCTTGATCGCCGGCGCACTCTTGGCAGCCTCCATGGCCTTCCAGGCATCCTTCTCGGCCTTGAGCTGCGCAATCCTCTCGGCCTCTTTCTCGTCCTCTGGGTTGGGCTCAGGTTCGGGCTCTTCCTCCTCGGGCTTCACCTCTCGTCCAGCAGCGGGCTGTCTTGGGTCGCGACGCTGAAGGGTCACAGGTCGCGTGAAATCGTTTTGGTCCGTGGGATCAATGTGTAGCTTCTCCTTCTCGATGCGAGATGACGAGAACCTCATGACGTGGTGACGGGTGCCTTCCATCAGGGCACGCTTGGTCGTGACAATCTTCCACTCGCGACCGCCTGGCGGCAGCGGCTCCGTCCAACCCCCGTTCGCCGCCGTTTTGGTTCGGTTGTTTGTGATGCGAGCCAGGAGGCCAGCGGTGTGGACCTCGGGCCTCAGCGCCGCAGAGGGAGGTGTCGCGCGACTCGAGGAAGCGGCGCCCGCACCTTGCGGCCGCGGAGCATTGGGTTTGGGCTGCGGTCGTCTACGCGCGACGAGAGGATCGCCTTTGGCTCGTCGCTTGATAGGGGGCGGTCGCGGCTGCTGCCCGGTCGGGTTGGGTTTCTGGTCCTGGGCCTGGCCGTTGGGCAGACCAGAGGGTGGCGCGCTCATCTTGGCGAGTGCGCGGGCCTTGAGTTGGTTGTGAATAAAGTCAGGTAAAGTATATTTGAAGCTTCGAGATGCACGAGGGCACAGGTCGTCGGCATAAACACACGGGCGAGTGCTTGAAGTTGTTGGTTTCAACAAGATGTCCGGAAGGCGTCGCGTGTAGTCTGGCGCTGGGCAGCGTCGGCGTCGCTCGAGCCGGGAACCTGAGTTACTGAATCAAGATAGAAAGAGCGACAAACAATGCCGAATCCAGTTCCTTTGATACACAAGTCGTCAAAGGATAGGTGGATGAAATGAGGGTGGAGGGACAAAGACGCTGATGGCGAAATTGGAAGCAGCTGTCGTTGACCTGGAGGGGAGGCGATCCTGCCTTGTCAGTACCTCTCAGCCTGGGGCGGCCTGTGCTGCCTGAGCGAAAGAAGGTCAGTTGGGTGGAGGCCGAGGTGGAGACCTCTGCTCGTGGTGTGAGGATACAAGTGCACTGTGCAGAGCCCCAAGCAAGTTGACTGCAATGTATACTTTACGGCTTGGAATCCAATCACAGCTGCTGGCTTGAAGCTCCCTTGTCAGGTGTCGTCATAAGGCTGCCACCGTTGTATCACTGATACTACTCACAGTCACCTCGTGGCAAGTTAGTAGCGTAGTTAAGGTAGTTCCCCATACTTTTCTTTCAAAAATGGAGAGAAACTTCAACGCGCAAGTTCAACTGCCCTCAATTGGCGAATTGATCTTGAGAGTGCTTGAGGCGGTTCATTCCATGCATCGACCCCTAGGCACAAGTTGAAGGTCGGTACGGCAAGGCACGAGAAGCTCTCGCCTCTCAATTGCGGGGGGGAAAGCTCGAATGCATAAAAAAAAACGCACTGTATTTACGCCCTGTAGCGGCGTGCCCCCTCCTTCTTGCCCATTGACAGGAGGGCCGGCAAGGCTGTCAAGCCATGGGTTCCACACTGTATTTCATATCCGACCCCATTTTGCGCCTTCCCTGATTGCTTAACCTGCTCGTGTACGACTAGTCTCACAAGCAAAACAACCTGACTACGGCCCATCATTAGGTCGTGATTTGTTTCCAGGTTGCACTTATCCGGCTACTGAGGATCGTTGGAAACCATCGTCTTCGTCATCCCGCCTTCATTACCGAGCGATCAAGGGAAGGACACCCGTGTCTCGCGCAACCATTCGACCCACTCTGAAGAAACAGACAAAAAGGGCGCTCGCGAGCCACTTCCTGATCACCATCGAATCCCCGTGATCCTTCACCAAGGCCATCATTCCCTTACCTATGCATCTGATCCTTGGATGATTAACTTCACCAGGGGAAACCGTGCTCATCAGTATCAGTCCTAGCTATCCTTGACCTGAGTCTTCACAGGCTCTCGCTAAGAAGATACCTTTCTCACTGGATCGGCTGACCTGGAGCATTGACCAACGGACCCCCCAACCGGCCATGGCTCATTATCAACCTTCGAGCCAGGGTCAAGACCCCGAACTCGAGACCAGACTGAGAGGGTTAATCCTGACGAACACGCCTGGAAGCAATGGCAACAGTATCTCTCACAGGGACCTTCTCGAAGGCTCAACAGATGATGCTCCCACTCCTTCTTCCCAGCAGTCACCCACCTCCCCCAAGATGACGAGGAAGCGGCCGAACCAGGCTCAGCGTCGGCAAATGAATGCCCAAATGACTATTCCTGTCGACACGAGGCCCACTGCGCCGGTGCCTCCTCGTAATTATGGTCAGAATCAAGGGTTCGCTGCCCACCACAATGAACAGGGCTACCGTCAGGGGCCACCACGCCAGCCATACACGCAACGCTCTGGTGGCAGTGCTGGCCAGTGGGCAGGGCCACAACACCACCATCAAAATCAGCACCAGCATCAGCACGGCCAGGGACAGGGTCACTTCCAGGGACGAGGACAGCGATATGGAGCCCATCAGTACCAGTCACACTCCTATCAGGACCACGGCCCCTCCGGCCCGAGTGCGCCTCCCGGCTTCCGCCAAGACGGCAATGTACCGCGTGGCGCCCAGCGCTCTCACGGACTGTACAACCCTCACGGAAACCATCACGCCGCACCTCTGTCGCCTGAAGAGCTCGCTCAGCAGTCGGCTTATCTTGATGGCCTAAGCGAGACGCTGGTCGCGGGCGCAGAGATTGAGCGAGACGACATCATGGAGAAAGAGTCATTCCGCATCAGGATTCAAGAGATCTGTCGACAGGTCATTGTGCAGCACGAAGAGCAGACAAATGGCAGAACTGGGTTTCCAGCCTCGTCAATAGGATTGGAATGCTTCGGCAGCCTTTCCTCAGGCTTCGCTACGAAAGCGTCAGATATGGACCTCGGGCTCATCTCGCCACTCTCTGTGCCCCAGCCTGACGGCGCTGACTCGGTGATCCCTCGCCTCGTCGAGAAGGCTTTCCTCGATGCCGGCCTGGGAGCGCGTCTCCTGACTAGAACACGAGTGCCTATCATCAAACTCTGCAGCAAGCCCTCAGATTCGCTTCTCTTAGGTCTACTAGAGGAACGAGACAAGTGGGAAAGGGGCATCGACAACGACCCTCTTGGAGCAGCCGAGGCCGAGGATGGTGATGAACCTGTCCAGGACCAAGATGAAGAGCAGCAGCCCAAGACTCCTACGGTTGCGGCCCAGTCACAGCTTGCTGCGTCAACAGGCGACCCGAATGCTGCCCCGAAGCCCTCCGTGGACCAGCCACAGAGCTTGAAGCTCCGTCAGACTGAGAAACAGAATCTCACCTCTTACTATAACAATGCCAAACGTGCCTTGAGACGCCTCAATGGACGTGACATTACCCTGTCAAACCATACTACTTTTTCAAGAGAAGACTTTGAAATCCTGACGCGGGTCTGCGAGGCCTTTGTCGAAGGCCTCTACGATCAGACACTCAAGGCCAGGCTCCAGGGCTACCAATCGCTCCTCTTCCGTCGCCACAATGACGACGAGTGCTCACACTCGCTGCTGGGTGTCTTCACGCAAGTGGAAGGCGAAATGCTTGCCATGGGTTGGGAGCATCGTACGACACAGGAGAAGTCTGCCGATGCCGAAAAGGCTGCGGAAGTGTGTGTACTCGGTTGGAAGAAGTTGCAGAATCAGCCGGTGGCTGGAAGTGATCCCCTCCAGCATGCCAAGCATCTACAGCTGTATCTGCATAGACTCAAGAAGCTCAACTCGGTTCAGCTCGTCACGCTGCAGCAGACCCAATTCGAGTCAGCGAGTGATTACCACGAGCGTGTTACGAAACTCGTCGTAAACTTGCGCCCTGCAGCCTTGCTTGCCGAGAAGGGCGAAGATTTGTTCCAAGAGCTCGTCATCAAGCACTACGTTGAAGGCATTTGGTCTTTTGAGGTACAAAAGCAAGTTGGCGATTTTGTTGCTGCTATATCAGGCCCCATCAGCCTTGGAACCGTGGCACGTCGCCACAAAAGTCTGCAACTGGCGTTTGAGTTTGATCGAGCCCTTGAGCACCACGCATACGACAGCCGTCTTGAGCCTGTGATCAAGCAATACGTTGCACTACTCCGCGGCGACACGAACCAGCCAGGCGACGCGAGCACGCTTGCCCTAGCGGCACCCGAGTCTCAGCAGGTCCTCCAGGTCATCCTCGCGCTATCCGACCCTTCGAAACTGACAGCCAACCAACCACGCGATCGGTACCGCGATAACCTCGAGTTCCCCAAGTCGGGCGTCGGCGTCCAGTGCGATATCAACTTTGCCGCCCATCTTGCGCTCCAGAACACCCTCCTGCTCCGCTGCTACTCTCACACGGACCCGCGCGTGCGCACGCTCGTGCTCTTCGTCAAGCACTGGGCCAAGTCTCGCGCTATCAACACCCCCTACCGCGGCACCCTCAGCAGCTACGGGTACGTGCTTATGATGCTGCACTACCTCGTCAATGTCGTCGAGCCCTTTGTCTGCCCAAACCTGCAGCACCTCGGTCCGCCGCCACCGCCGCAGGATCCTTCCACTTACCCGGACGCCGACGGCCTCATCTGCCGTGGCCGCTTCGTGGGCTTCTGGCGCGACGAGGCCGAAATTCAGCGCCTCGCGCGCGCACGCCAGCTCAACGGCAATGACCACTCGGTCGGCCGCCTGCTGCGCGGCTTCTTCGAGTACTACGCCCACACGGGCACCCTGTCGACCAACCCCAAGGCACGCGGCTTCGACTGGGGTCGCGATGTTCTGAGCCTGCGCACCCCGCGCGGCCTGCTCAGTAAACAGACCAAGGGCTGGACGGGCGCCAAGACGGTACTCGAGAACGTGCCGTCCCCAGCCGGCGCGCCCACTGCCGCCAACGCCAACGCCAACGCCGCCGAGGCCAAGCCCGTCGAGGTCAAGGAGGTCCGGCACCGCTACCTGTTTGCCATTGAGGACCCCTTTGAGCTGGACCATAACGTCGCGCGGACGGTCACGCATAATGGAATCGTCGCGATCCGGGACGAATTCCGGCGCGCGTGGCGGCTCATTCGCGCTGCCGGCAAGGGGAACCTCGGTGGAGGTGGGGGCGGTGCTGCTGCTGCTGGGGACGCGGAGAGCGAGGAGCTCCTTCAGGATGTTAAGACTGTTCGCAAGGAGAGCGACGCCGGCGAGTTCCGCAGTTTGCTGGCCGAGATACACGGCGTGGAGAGGGCGGAGCTGGAGACGTTGGCCGCGGCCATCCCATCGTGATCAAGATCGTTGTGGCATGTAGGCCGTGTGGTTTTCCAGGTTGAATTTGTCACATGAGGGAAGGCGGGCATGTTGTGTTGGAAGTCAACGGTTGTATTATGGCTTTGGGTGATAACTTTGAAGATAAGTATCCTGGCTAAACTCAATGAAGGCATGTTCCCCTCGAAGAACTCATCATGCAGCTCATTGGTAGAGTGAAGTCAAAACGGTCAAGAACACAACAAGTCACGTCACACAAATAAGCAGAAAATGTCCGAACTACTCTCGCCCCCCTGCCCATCGACTAAACAGCGTAATAAAGCCGATGTGCAAAAAGGGGGGCCCTCGAGGTCGAAGAGTTGATCTTCCAACGTTCCGTTCAGGACCCGTTCTGCATGAACTGGGCCCCGGCTCTCCGAAGAAAGCAACCGCTGGGTGTGGCATGCGCCAAGGTGGGGAAAGCACACAAGAGAAAGAGAAAGAGGGAAGGATGGAGACGAGGCATCACACATCCCGTGCAACAAAAAAGCAGATGGTATCATCATTGCTCTAGAGCTCTGCCTTTTTTGTCTGTCTCGTCGTAAAACGCATGACAGAAAAGGGGGCTCGAAATCATGCCGTTGCCGTACGCCTCGCTAGATGCCGCCTAGAAAATTTTCAAAGTCAAACGAACCCCGTATTCCAGCCATACCTGTCAAGACTTTCTTCGCGCAAGCCGAAAGGCTCCTCAGTTCAGGATGTGCTGGTAGAGGGGCGAAATGGATTCGCCATAATGGTTGCGGCGAATGGCCTCGGCGAGGAGGAAAGACAGGTCGAGGACGACGAGCTTGCTGATGTTCTTGACACGTTCCTCTTTGGATAGGGGAGCTTTTGGTCACAACTATCGTGTCGATGGACTCGCAAGCCCTGCATCTGCTCGAGGCAGTCCCCCCCAAAAGACACATGGGTTGGGGATGCAAGTACACCTTCTTGGCTTGGCCTTCTTTGACGGACGTCTTGGCCGGCAGCCAATCCCGAAGCCGGGCCTTGTCGATCATGTCATCAACGATGAAGGCGGTGCGGTTCCACGTCCCGACCAGTGGATCATTGCTCGACTTGGGTCCTTGAGAGTGCTTCCTCCTCGTCCGATTCGGCCTCGGCGTCGCCGGAACCGCCCAGCGCATGAGGCGCGGGCTCGCCGTGGTTGGAGGATGGGCGAAGAAGGACGAGGCATGCGACATGTCATGGGATCGGGCTCCTCGCGGGAGCTGCCACCAGCGGTCGACGTTGCGGGCGACGGATAGTCGTCATCAACAATATGACCCTGGACGAGGCGACCCTGCGTCACTTCATATGCTGGGCCGTCATCGTACTGCGCATCGCTCTCGTCTTCGTCCTGCTGCTGACCAGACGAGTTCTTCGTCGGCGTGGTGGGACGAACCACGCGGTTGACGTCCGCGGTGCGGAGCGGCGGGCCGTTCGAGCGCTGCGGGGAGCCCTGTGTGTTTGCGCGGACTCGGTTTCGTCTGACGTTTTGAGGTTCGGACGCAGCTGGCTCCTCAAGAGCCTCAGTCTTGGCCTCGGCAGGTTTACTTGTCGCAGAAGACTCGAGCACAGGCTCGCGGTTGAAGCTGTGGAGGTGACCCATGATGACACTAGCCGACATGTTGGCGCCCCGGTGCTTCTTCTTCTCGGTCGTGACCATGCCGAAATTGAGCTTCAAGGCGTCAGCGAGCGATGTCACTCGCTTCGTTCCACCGGCGTTCTTCGACACGACAACAGCCTCCTTCCAATTGGCGACGTTGTGACGGATCCAGCGAGCAATGAGGGGCTCGGCATGCAGATTGTCGACGGGGCACTTGAAGAAGCCCTGCATCTGAGTTGCGTGCAGATCGACGGTGATGACATGCTTGATACCAGCCATGGTCAACAGATTGGCGAGCATGCGCGCTGTGATGGCACCGCGGTGGGACTTCTTCTTGGACTGGCGACTGTAAGGGAAGTAGGGAAGAACAGCTAGCGAGGGAGGAGGGTCAATGGTCTGGATCGCCAACGAGTCAGAACCGGGTCAAGGAGGAAGGGCCTACCTGTGACCTTGTTTGCCGAGCCGCCCTTGCATGCAGAGATCATGATGAGCAGCTCCATGATCGTATCGTTGACCTTGGGACTGCCAGACTGAACGATAAAGACGTCCTTCTCTCGCACGCTGGTGAGGATGCGTACCCTGGTCTCGCCCTTGGTGGATGGTTAGTCTCAAGCGAGAAGCCGTGACAACTCGGAAAAGCAGACTCCAACGGACAAGCGTTCGAGGGGATTTCCCTGGCGCAGGAAAGGCAGGCAGGACAGGGCAGTCAAGTGAAGGCCCAGCCCAGGCCAACTCAAGCCAGTCCGCTCACGCTCCGGCTCGACTTTGACTCAGGAACAGCCAGCTTACATTGGAAAATTGGGTGAGCTCCGCCTCGGCGGGCTGCATGCCCAGGTTCTCGCAAATCTGACCTGTGAGCGCTGGGCAAGAGCTGCCCGCGAAGATCAACGTGCTACGCATCGTGAATTGAGTTCGGGCGTCGTGGTGATGGCGGAGGGCCTGGAGGAGGTTGAAGGAGGGGAGCTCCGAAGCGAGGAGGGACGAAAACAAATTTTGAGAGCTGTGACGAGAAGAGAAGAGAAGGAAGGGTCCGGGTGGGGAGGCCGTGTCCGGGAAGGAGCGAGCAGACTGTGCTATGGCTTCTGACGTCAAAAGGAGGGTGTCGAAGTTTATGCGCACTGTGGTAATGATGGGTGCTTCCTCCCGGCTTCATGCATGGGATGCTCCTCTATAGATACATATTGCTATAGAGTGAATTAGACTCAATCTGCATCAAGACACCATCCAGACCATGATCTCTGCCTCTCATCATGAGAATGAGTCCTGCATAGCTCTCCATGCTTGGAGCTTCTACTTTTCTCATAGATCCCATGGATAAATTTTGATGATTATTCACCATTACATCTCCTTGTCATCAGCCTCGTGAGATGGGAATCCCCCATCTCTTCACCCATCTCGGGCCATATGGTGTTGACACTCTTCTCACCGGCATCAAGATCATCATTGATGGTCCCTCCTTTGCCTATCACATCCACAGTCTGTGCTCAAGCAACAGAGCTGGCCAGGTTTCCCACAAGCTTCTGTGCGATGCCGCCATAAGCTGGCTGGATGCCCTGTCCAAGGGCTCCAAAGTGTAAGCCCCTTTTGTATCCTAATTCTTCGCCCTTCGCAACGCATACACGCTTCGTGGTCCTGTGCTGACTCGTTCAGGACGGCCATCTACTTTGACGGCTACCTTCCCGCCTCCAAACACCCCGTGCGCCTTGATCGCCTTCTCAAGTCTTCAACCCGCCTGCAGAACCTCCACAGCAGCAACCCCAAAACCTGCCCCTCTCACCTGCTGTCCGAGTCAAACGAGCTCATCCCGGCACCCTTTCCCACAACCTACGCGCGTCGCGAACCGCCTCACCACCCTCCTTTCCTCGTTCCCGCCATCCTCGAACGCTTGCGCCTCTCGGAGAAGTACGCACCCCTCATCCGCCTCGTCCCGGGCGAAGCAGACGCCTACTGCGCCGACCATGCCCTCCACCACGGCGGCTGCGTCTTGACCTTCGACTCGGAACCTCCTCGTCCACGACCTCGGTTTCCCGCGGCGCCCT